CAGCAAGGATCCCAACACAACCCACAAATACTGGACAACCAGCAAGGGACCCAACACAACCCAATAACACTGAACAACCAGCAAGGAGCCCACTCAGTCCAACACAACCCAGTTACACAGAATATACAGCAAGGAGCCCAACACAACCCAGCTAACACAGGATAAACAGCAAGGAGCCCAACACAACCCAGTAACACAGAATATACAGCAAGGAGCCCAACACAACCCAGTAACACAGAATAAACAGCAAGGAGCCCCAACACAACCCTGCAATACCCGATAACCAGCAAGGAACCCAACACAACCCAGTAACACAGAATAAACAGCAAGGAGCCCAACACAACCCTGCAATACCTAATAACCAGCAAGGAACCCAACACAACCCAGTAACACAGAATAAACAGCAAGGAGCCCAACACAACCCAGTAACACAGAATAAACAGCAAGGAGCCCAACACAACCTAGTAACACAAAATAAACAGCAAGGAGCCCCAACACAACCCTGCAATACCCGATAACCAGCAAGGAGCCCAACACAAACCCAGTAACACAGAATATACAGCAAGGACCCCAACACAACCCAGCAATATCAGAATAAACAGCAAGGAGCCCAACACAACCCAGTAACACAGAATAAACAGCAAGGAGCCCCAACACAACCCTGCAATACCCGATAACCAGCAAGGAACCCAACACAACCCAGCAACACCAAACCACCAGCATTGACTGAGGAGCCCAACAGGACATCAATAAAAACAGGAGAAGGCAAAGCACAAACAGACAGCTAACCTTATTACTAAAATAGCCTATTGACGGCAACAGTGATTCCCTCTATGCATCAAGCGCAGACCAAGATCAGCCCGCACATCAAGCCCGTTTAATCATGTTTGCTATTCTGTCAGTACATATTTTGAAATTTTCTTGAAAAATAATAAAGGTTTCATCCATATTGAAAGATGGTCAAATCCAATCAAAAGATATTGAGCAATTTATATAGCAATTAACTACTTCAGACAAATGCCAGTAAGACAAACTCAAATCTTGCCATGATTTGGTGGTAATTTTTTTATGTTTTTGCCTTAAAACAAGCCACTAACAGATAATGATCAAATAGAACACAAACACTAATGTTTTTTCTACCTAAAGGTATCATTCAATAATGTATAATTATTATTCTTTCAAAATGAATTAAATATTATTCATTCAGAGACATCTCTATTTTCTCGGTCCCATTGTTACAAATTGACCTTTACAATAAAGTATTTTACAGAATTATGAATTCATTTCCCAAATGCTTTACTAAATTAACAGAACAAAATAATGCAATAATAATAATAAAGTCAACAGTACAGAATTATGCTATAATAAAATCAACAGCTCAGAATTATGCTATATAATAAAATCAACAGCTCAGAATTATGCAATAATAAAGTCAACAGCTCAGAATTATGCAATAATAAAATCAACAGCTCAGAATTATGCAATAATAAAATCAACAGAACAAAATTATGCAATAATAATAATAAAGTCAACACAGAATTATGCTATAATAAAATCAACAGCACAGAATTATGCAATAATAAAATCAACAGAACAGAATTATGCAAAAATAAAGTCAACAGTAAAGAATTATGCAAGTTGGAAAGCAGAAGTCAAGGCTGACCTGGTTTTATTAAGAGTTAAAATGACAAAGGGGAGAAAACTGGTGCTCAGTAAAACATACTTGTTTCTTTTCTTTTTTGTTGAGACTTACTTCTTTGTTCAATTCACAATATTTTCCATTTAAATACATTTTTCAAAATGATCATGAAAATTAGGATGAATCTAGTGGCATTCTAGCATGCTTTAAGGATTGTTCCAATTAAAGACATAACATGAGTACCAGTAAATGTAGATGCTATAGCCGGTACTGCTTAAAAAAATATGATTTCCTTCAATTATTAATAACTTTATAAAGTTCATAAATGATCAATGTTGGAATTTCAAATTCAAGGGTTTTTCAATGCTATTCAGTTAATTCTTAAGGGATCTTCAAAAGGGTTTTAAAGCTAAAAGTCATTTCCAAGTTTTCAAAAAAGACATCAAATTCAATGATTTTTCAAGACATTTGCAAACCAATGTCTCATTTTTAAAAAAAAAATTTTTAAAGTCAACATATGTAAAATACTTTTTTATGCCTTATTTTTTTTTAAATAAATGCTGTTTCTGTTATATTGTGGAAATATATAATTATATATATGCTAGCTAGTAGCTATCTGGTTTAAAGCTTGGCACCGATATATAACTTTTCTTTATTATAAGTGCTTATGAATAATTATTTCATATTTTCACTCGAGTTTATTACGTACATGAACTATTACATTTCAAGTTAATTGCGTAAGTTATTACTCCCCATATTATATTTGCTAATATTGTCATTATACCTCAGTACGATTTTGATATTTTAACGCCAATTATCACAAACTTTACAAAAAGGTTGAAAATAAAATTATGCAACTTTTGCATCATTATCGCTGTGTTTTACACATTTTATATAAGCAATGTTCGTCCAATTAACATACCTAGAATTTCATAATAATTTTCTCTTTTTTTTATCAAATACACCATCATTCTGTGAAGTCCACTGAATTGTTGTTTGTGAAAGTTGGTAAAAAAAATGGAAAAATTGATTTCATAAGCACAAACAGGCAGCTGGACTGGTCTAATAAACAAGTTATTTGAAAGAATACAACACAAATTAACAAAAATGTCCACATTTTTATTAATTCTCATTCCACAAAAGAAATCAATTTTTGTTTGTGCAAAACTGCCAATATTAATTTCAGAAGGCAATGCAAAGAGTGGGATTTTGATAATTATTATTAACAAAGAAACATGTTAACTTATCTAATAATGCCATTAGACTAAGTTATTATTACAGTATGACGGTTCATAGTACAAGTTCAATTGTTTAGTGACTTTGCATACCATTAAGGTCTGATGAATGTAACATGGCACATCTCTAAAAGCGATGGATGCTCCGAGAAACCTACATACATTTCGTATTTGTCTATATGTACAAAGGCTGAATGATTAAATATGTAAAATTCTGTTAAGTTAACAACCAGGGACCATCATACTCAATTGACACCTAACTCTACCCAAAGCATAATCAAACAAAGATTTGCCATTTTGTAACATTTTAGCACTTGAATATAGTCGGTCTGTATTTAAATTCAAAATATACAAATTTACAAATCATACAAAGCCCAATTCAAACAGGTTTTGGTTGCTTTTACTCTCTTTTTTTTCTTCCCTATTTTGTTAGAGAAAAAGAAAATAATGGTATGTCCGTCACCACCAAGATGCCAGTGTCCTACTACCCGGACAAATGATAGCACCATAAAGATCCTTGCCATAACTACACTAAGTTGAAGGTCTAACAACCTTACATGATCAATATCATATTATGTTCAATGTATCAACATAATATTATGTTGATATACTCAAATACCAACTTAAGTCAGAGACCTCATGAATCACTACAATTATATACAGTCACAGACAGCAAGCTTCACTTTTCTCAGTACTAAAAGGTTAAATAGAAGCAACATAGATAAGAGGGGGCATAACTCTACAAAAATTAACTTAGGATTATCTGCCCTTTTGAAATGGCTTCCTTTCATGACAATAAACATGTAGTTTGAGGAGATTAGCTTAAATAGTTTGAAACGAATAGCTTAAACAGTTTCCTAAGAAAATCAACATTAACGAAAAAGGTAAATGAATGCTAACCGAGGGCATTGACAATATATAGCTCCGCTTCTTTTCTGTGAAAAATAAAGCTATAAATGGTACATATTACATGTATAATGTCCACATGGGATCCCCAAATACCTTCCCTTACATGGGTCACCTAAGTATATAATTCATAAAATCATCATTATTTCAATACTTCATTTAAAGGTCAAAGGAGCAAAACAAGTCATGATAATGAATAGTTCCTGGAATCACATAAACAAGTAAACAAAAATTTGGCTTAAATGCCAATGTTCATCAATAACTCAAAACAATTTTTTAAAGGTATCTACTACATCCTAAATACATCCGGTAAGTTTAATGTATACCTGTCGAGCATAAAAGCCATCAAACAGTTTCTGACAAGACCAAAAGGCCCAAGTGGGTCCCTAACTTTGACTGCTTACTGGAAAAAGTGTCTTTAAAAAAAAAAAAATTCCTACTTCAAACCATTTTTTATGTCTCCATGGTCCATGATTTTCACTTTTTTAAAAGGTACACTTGACCATACTACATGTGAAAAGTCTGTTATAAAAATCACTGTGTTTTGACCTTACGGAAAATCAGACATGCAATCCAAAAATGATTATTTCTGAGCACTTTCTGCATAGATGAGATAATATATGTTGCTCTGTTGTGTGTGTGTGTGGTTTTTTTTTTCTGGTTTTTTTAAATAATTAACAATCACTCATTTTTTGTTTTTTACCTAAACTGAACATTTTTTTTGTTTTTTTTTGATATTCGGAGATGTCTACTACAAAATGCTACATGAGAAATATGTCCAATCCACTCGGCATTGTAATTACACACAAGAAGACTTAATTTAACTGGTTTTTCCTATGTAAGTCTATATTAATTAAGTGCAAAACAGGAAGTTGCACAACCTTGGCCAACCAGGGTTACCTATAATACAACCTGTCTTTTTTTTAAAACTGGCATTTTAAGTGGTCACATCTTTGTTCACCCCCTTTCCAAAAAAAAACAACTTCATATGGCATTTTTTTGGGTAATGAACAAGTATACCAAGTTACATATGAATACCTTTTATCACAGTTTCTGAAAAATAGAAATACCAACACAAACCCAAACAGGATGGTCATGTCAATAGCTTTTCACCTTTTTTCTCTCTGAAAAAGCGGAGCAAAAAAAGGAGAAAGATTCTGGTATGGACTTCTATAACAATCTCAAAAGTTATAAAATAAAACAATAATATTCAAATTTACCTTTAAAACATCAGGAAGGGCTCGATTTAAACTTTGACCTTTGACACAGTGAAACATCTCTGAGAGCAAATTTTCTCGGTCCTTCACATAATAACCAATAGGATGCATCTCCTTATCAAGGTCAAGGTCAGAATCGTCAAACTCTGCCTCTGCTTGAACCTTTTTCTTATTCTGAAACAAAAAAAGATTACACATATGAGCCACGCCATCACAAAACCAACATAATGGGTTTGCGACCAGCATGGATCCAGACCAGCCTGCGCATCCGCGCAGTCTGATCAGAATCCATGCTGTTCGCTATCACTTTCTCTACTTGTTATAGGGTTTGTAAGCGAACAGCATGAATCCTGATCAGACTGTGCGGATGCGCATGCTGGTCTGGATCCATGCTGGTTGCAAACACACTATGTTGGTATGCGGCTCAATTATTATGAAAATAAGCAAAATAAATGTATCAAAATACTTCTGTTATTAAACATTTAAACATTTGAATTATACACCACTACGATGTAACATCTGATCAAAAACAAGGACATTGTTTTCAATGCACACTGCTCGCAAACAGTCAAATGGTTATATCCCTGTTAAAACTGCCAACCACTAAAACCATAGCATCTGGCAGTTGTGGAGTAGTAACATTCATTTCTCTAACTCCCTTTACCTCCCTTTCTTAACAGAACTTCAAGCTTACAATTGACTGATATATATTTTTATTTATGATTAAGTTTTAATATTATTAACTACAGCTGTTAATCATCAAATGGTACTGAAGATAATTAAACTTCAAGCCATTTTATCTAGAAAATTGTCTTAAGGATGCCCCCACTTTATATGCTAGGACACTTAAAAATATGAATAAAGATATTATGACAGCTAGGACAGGATATATGGTATTTCACAAACTTTCTTGAAAAAGTAAGAGGATTCTTGATAAAAAACAGGTTTTTTTTTATAATATTCACCAGCTTTTATTTTAAGGTGAAAGAACACAGTTATTTTCAGTTTAGTCAAAATTGGAGCATAATTTTTATTTATAATATAACTTAAACTACGAAAATAGATTTTCAATATAGTTTTACATAAGTAACATCACAGTAAAGCATTGTTTATCATATCAATGACTCATTATGCCGAACACTTTTTCAAAGTGACTTAAAAATCCTTGTGCCACGTAAAATGCACCAATATAAAGAAGCTCGTACTCATAAAGATCCACAAACTATTCCACATTGATTTATGGCAGTGATTGTCTTGAAAATATTAATGCCAAGGATATATGCCACGTAATTATTATTGTTTAGTGATAACTGCCTGTATGACAAATCTGAAATCACTTTGGTGAAGAAAAAAAATTCTGTATTTCCAAACCTTGTAAGGGTGTCTTTTATTTATTGTGGCTCACTGTAGTTGTCTATAGAGAAATGGCCTAAAGTATAAGTCGAAAAAATAGTTATATTTAATCAAATGAAAATGGTCTAAAATTTTTCATTATAAAACAAAACTTCTTCTTGAGTTTTAAATACATCATCAAAATTCACAACTTGCACCCAAAAAAAACCAACAAAGAATTCAGCATCAGGCAAAAAAAAAAATTAAAGTAGCATCAAAAGTACAGATTTCTGATATAACTTTCCAAATTTGCATGTAATAACATTTTCTTTTACTTTACGTCTGCAATAAAAAATACCTGATTTGCGAGAAATTGTAAGTAGAAGACGAGTTCCATTGTTTGTAATAAACAAAGACCAATTCCAATCAGAAGATAATGTGAAGGATTGATCAAAATTTTGTATCTGTATGCAAATAACTGAATCTGGCATAAGACATCATATTACGTCTTGGTGGACAGTTTGCGACGGATCATATCAATGACCTCCATTGTATCCAATTGTCCGTTGTCGATGCATTGAAAATCGAGAAAAAAGAAGAAATGACAAAGTACCTCGGCCCCATGCATTTTACAATTCACTCAACTGTTATGCAAATTTTGTCGGGCAATATGGCCAGAACTTAAGTTAGCATAATCACTAAACGGAGAAATTTAATCGTGACCAGGGTTTGAATTTAAGACGTAATAATGCTAGGTTACTGAAGATAACCGCCTGTCTTCGCAATAAACTACCAAAATACGGACAATGATTAACTCCTTTTGTAGAAAAAATTGACCAGCGCGTATCTTCACATTATTTAAAATAAAACATTTTTCACAATTGTTATGTTGAAACTTGACATCTCCGAGTCTGCTAGGTCATAAATTAACGTTATTTGGAGAGTTCGACAGGATAAATTAGATACAGATGAATGAACTAAAAATAACTACGACTATAGTTTATGTCCTTATACCCTTAACAAGTCACGGCAAAATGACATGGAGATTGACATTTGAAATATATAACCAAAAATATAATAGTAATTTATACCATGTGGAAGTGACAATCTTTTTTGTTTTTTACGTACATTTTAGGACATTTGAGGATTCCTCAATAATGTGAAAATAGTTTCTTTTTTACACAGTATAGGCATTAAACTGTTTATGTATAACAAATAAAAAGTACACATCTTAGAATGGACTTTTGTATATATTTTCATCAGGCATAAATAAGTATCTTATAAATTCTCATGCCTTTTCTTCTTTTGATAAAAAAATAATTATGAAGACAATCATCCATTAAGATTTTGTATTCAATAATACGATCTTCTAATGAAACAAATGCAAACAATCATTCAATATAAACTTATTTAAAAGAACTATACAATCAGTCAATATCTAATGATAGTCATTGACAATGAACTATTTAAATCTCCAGTAAATTCAAGCTAAATTTTTTTACAGAAATAATTACCAAATCCCTTGGCTACAAAAAAAATAATGGGCTTTATTTCGACTATCAGATTATTGGATTATCTTAATAGTATTTTTTTTTTCTGAACAACAGGACATGGGTTACAAATCAATGTCGCATTAAAACTTGTCCTGTTCAACTTGATATAAAAGTCGTTTATTGAGTATGACATTAGTACAGACTATTATCTGACATGCCTTGCAGCTGTCCACCCCTAAAGTACAACAAATTTATGCATTTTGTCACACACACACAAAAAACTTCTGTCCAGTGGCAATGTATTCAAATAAATGAATTTCAATCACACTTCTTGGACAAGTGAATTTCTTTAATTCCCTTTGTGACATCAAATTTGCAGATTCTGTGACTTACTGCAAAATAGTCCCAGCGATGGACGTGATTAAAGTGTCCGCGACAGGCTTTTTATGGTCAGTATTGCAAGTTTTAGTGTCCCCGAAAGGCATTTAATTTACACACATGCATTTTTTAGAGCACTTCCTTGGCTGGAAAGTGTGAAACAAGGACGCACAAAATACATTATCGCAGTCTCTCGGGAACGTCCATTTTCGCATGGTGCCGTCAAAAAAAAATTCTATGAAAATTTGCATGTGAAAAACATGACCCCCTCTCTCCATATAACTTCCCTTGTAGCTATGCATGACCACTGCATGACTCATCAATAATGCCTAGTAATGATTGAGAATTTAATTGCATGTCCAAAAGATTAAATATCTCAAATGCGGGAGAAATGAGAAGATTGGAAAAATTTCTCCTAGATTATAGTGCGGACATTCACTTTTTAACATTTTGACCTCTCGCACTGAATAAAAACATGGAAAACAAAATTGATTGTGCAGTTGAAATGAAGTTCCAAAGTCTGGTCATGTTATCAGCCCTATCTTCAAAGGATACATTACTCTGCAAGTTTATTTTTGCTTATCATTCCATTCTGAAGGGCCACAAAAAAAGCAAAATGATGAAGTAGCCAGTGTATAAAATGCTCATCAATTTTGACACACAAGTATCTCACAAATTTTCCTTTCACAAAAATACTGCATTGAACAGCATTCTTGCTCCATCTCAGATATTCAAAAGTTATTTATTTTCTTCAGAAAAAAGAAGCGACGTTTGTCAAAATCTGCAAGTATCATGCATTCAATACCAGGCAAACAACTGAATATTGCATACCTTTATAAGAAAACCAAAAAATACCAAATAACATAGAATAGCTGAAGAGTTATAATGAGCCTACTTAGTCTATGGGGGTCATTCAATTATAAGGTCAACTTAAAGGGAGATAAATTCTATGCAGCATTATATTATGCTTAATTTTGAGCTTATGGCATCATACACAATCAAACTAAAACAAATTTGTGTACATCAATTATAATTGCTTAAATCACATTTCCTTAAAATAAAAAAAAAATTAAAAAAAACCCATACAAAAGCTCTGAATTACATATGCCTGGGAATTTCAGGAGACCTACCCTGTGTGGTCTCTATACATAGGATATGATTCAGTTTAATTGAACGGTCAAACACTATTCTAATTCTTTATTTACATTTCCAGAGAAAGCCAACACTCCAAAATTATAAACATCATTACAGACTGACCAGATAAAAATCTCTAAAAGAAAATCATGATCAACTGACCACTTCTAATATTCTAATATTTCAAACAGATCGCAATTTTTTTGTTTTGATTCAAGGTTAAACTGACCAGAGATTGGACTATACACTGACCACGGCATAGAAATAATTACCTTATCAGAGACAAATCAGAGGTTTATAGGCACCATGATGTATGCTCTTACTGATGATAAAAATCTCAAATTATTCATACAATTTCCTTTTCATTTCTAGTGATCTAATTAGAAATGACCAACGGACAATTTCAAGGCATTGATATGTCAGTAGATACATCAGTCTTAGGTGAAAGGTACAGAATTCCGATGTTCAACGCAGCGCTGCCGGGCCAGTTTTCTATCAGGCTCAGGCATTTTGTAGATTTTCACTACAAATATATTTTGTCATGGGCAAATGTCAAAGGTGTGGCAATTATTAGGCATGTCTAATTAATTATTTACAATATAATGATGAGATAACAAGTTATGAAGTCATATCTCTATATGCAGGCACTGACCTCTTCGCACTTTTTTCTTGTTTTTTTTTTCTTGAGAGGTTTAATCAGGGAACATTTTAATGATTACTCCCTGCTGCTTTTGTCTAACATTCATGCCATGCATTGAATTTGATGACAGTCCAGTCAATTTAAATATCAGACTTATTTGACTAAAATACGTTTGTGGTAAAAAAATCATAATGTCTAAAACAAGTCTTAAAAAAAGATGCTGCATAAAGTATGCTACAAAATGATCATATCAGAGTAATGTTAGACCATTGAAAATAAAAAATGAACCCAAAGGTCAAAAATCTGATTTTCTTTTTTTTTAAAGCCTTAATGAATTCAAGCTCTGTTATTTTCAGAGGCCTCTTAACAGCATCTCCAGTGGTCACCTAAACCTGTCAGAATACTGCATTTATCTTACCATCGCTTCATTCAATGCCAATTTCTTTTATTCCTCCAAAACAGCTTCTCTCAACCTTCTGACCTTGGCTCAGTAAGCAGTTTTTTTTGTTCTTCAACCAAGTATTGAAAGTCATGTTCTCTAGATTCTTATCAAAAAATTTTTTTATTACCATTTCAACTGTTGATGAAAATAGGCTATAATTTACGGAAGCAATCAGACCATCTCGCATTTCAATCTACAGACAATATTGGAAACTGACCTATCAGTAAATCTCAACTGGCTTGCCTACCTCTCATACAGTACGGAAGCTAATTGGAGGCGACATTTCAACCAAGTTGCATGAATGCGATTCTGAAGAAAACATGCATTTTCACAATCACAGGCCAACTAGAAGCTACAGGTGCATACGTATGCTGTTAATGAATGGTGATTGGTAAATAATTCTACAGGTAAAGTGACAACTGTTATTTGAAGCTATAATCTTTTAACAGTTTCCTTACACTCTGTTGTATTATAGGTAACAATTCTTTTTGGTAAACAATGCACAGGTACAGGCATTTAGTCCTGATTCTTTCCTTGATTAACCGATTACTTAGCACAGTTTAAGTACAACCTTTGAGCAATACCTCTCTCTTAAAGTGACATAATGCTCATCCAAGGGTTTTGTGCCATTTTGACAGATTCTCAGTTAATATTACTAACAATAGCATACGTATAAAGACGTGTCCTGCGTAATGTGCAGGAAGTAGCTAATAACTTCCCCACCTACGTTACTTGAACCAGCATTGGAAGATTAATTTTATCATACATTTTGTTAGCCTAACAAATTGTGCGCCAGGGCTTTTTATTATATAGCCGATCCATGTAATATCAGTTTGTAAAATTTTATTTCTAAATTTTGTTAACATCATCATTATCACCGGTAATTAATTATAGGGAAACATTTTCCTACACCTAAACCTTGAACTTTTTATGAGAAATGATTATAACTTCAACTTGTGAATCCCCAGATAATAGGCCTAAAGCTCAGCAGTCCAGGCCAGGGCTAAAGGGATACAGTATAGGTGGAAATAACTCTGACTAGTTTGTTAAGTCAGACATAAGAAACATAAGAAATTCAAATAGAAGCCATTAAATGTAGTATTAGCACCTTATCTATATTTGTGACTTTTACTTTTTTTTAAACATTATAGTCACAGTGAGAAAATGGTGCGACATCTATGGATATCAAGACTGGTGGACCTAGGAAGGTCCTTGTTAAATGTGTTAGCTAATTTAGAAATAAACATTGCTTATCAAATCCTTCCTACTAATATTCTTAACTGAAGGACATAAAACCCAAAAATTACCTTGAAAAAGACATACACAAAATTATACAGAAAATTGATGGGAAAAAACTGATTACTTCCTATGAACTCCCATGTAAAGTTTCATTTAATTTTGTGAAATTGGGACCGAATTTGAATATACAGCGAAATAGAGGGAATTTAATATTGAAATACTTGAATTCTGACATAAACCATTAGATATGAAAAATCCCGTTAGAAATCATTTCAAATATAAATCTATAAAATATAATAGAAACTGCTGTATCAAGTGAAACATATGCTTCATTTAAAAGTAAAAAAAACTGTACAATCTTCCTACAGTTAATAGATAAATTTCAAAATGGAGTATGAATTGTGTTCTTCAACTGACATTGTCTTCAATTTTGTACTGATAAGAACATTAATCAAATAAACTTTCTCGCAGAAATTTTCAAACTAGGAAATACAGCGAAACCTTTTTGAATGACATCTTTTTAGACCTTCTGTAACTGTTTACAAGATGTACAAAGTCTTCTTTAATTGAATGAGAAGAAATGATTCATCACAAACAAGAACATTTTTTGTCATTATCTGAGAAATTATAAAGTTTATCAACATGACTATTAAAGGGACCACACTGAGGTTCTTAAATGTCTGGGTTATTCAAACTTAGTTAATTTTTTAACTGCTGTTCATCATAATCTTATTGATTTTAACTTTGTGTGGGAGTCATTCCATCTTATTCCCATCCCACTATACGTTCTTGTATACGATCCTGAGATTGGAATTATGGCACACACATAGTCACATGTACAGAGAGATATAACGAAATGGACAAATAAATCAAGCTCCTTTTAAAACATGGACAGTTAAAAATGAAGTTTATGCTTGCCCATGTGGCTGGGGTAAACAAACTAACCACACAGACACACACACCCATTTTTGACATGATGGGACTGGAAATATTTTCTGAGATTTGTAAACCAATTGATCTAGGTCTGAACCAATAACTTCTGTGCAGATTTTATGATCATTCAAACACCCCTTTTCCCAGTATATTCATTTTTATTATGCAAAATGAAAAGTGTTATGTTTTGGGGTTTTTTTTGTCATATTGGGTAAGCAGGCGCATGCACGCACGCGCACACACACATTTGAATTTATTTTTGAATATATCTTTTTATCATCCTTTGCAGTCATCATCATCATAATCATCATCAAAATCATAATCATCATTGCTGCTGCCACTATTGTCAACATCATCATCACAATCTTCATCATCACCTATGTTGTTAATACACTTACTTTCTTTGCGGATTCCTTCTTTTTCTTAACTTTTTTCTTCTGTACCATCTTCTTCCTTTTCTTCGTACTTGACATTTCTGGAACATCTGCCTGAGTTGAGTCAGCAACCATTTTGGCAGCACTCATTCTTCTTGTATTCTACGGTGCTTCTTTCAATTGACAATGTTGCAGTAAAAAGATGAGTAAAGAGTCACGTTTCTGAAAGTCAATAAAAAGTTTTTTTCATATTAATCATTACAACGATTATCATTATTGCGAATATTTTTTATTTTTTTATGTTATGTATGGTTTAATGTCACAATTTCAATGCCGGGATCAAATGATTACTTCCCGGATCAGACTACCCCAGATGCCACCACCCCTCTATGTTTCATAAATTAAAAATTCTAAGGCACCGTGGTAGATCAAATAATATTCTTAACATAGCTTGTTGTTTTTTCCTTTTTCAATTTTAATTCTTTTTTTTTTATGTGAATTTAATTAATGAAATGACTAGACAGAAAATTTTCCATTTTCATTAGGTTAAAAAAAAACCATCTACAAATGAGCCGCAATATCTTGAAAAAGTCAACATAAGTCATAAAAAAAAATTCTTTTTAGTCAATTGATATCACATCTGTGCCAGGGCTTGCACTCGGGCACTCCTCTTTAGTCAAACAAAATACTTAATCATACTGAAAATTAATTTTATAGAATTTCTTTTTTTAAATTGAGTGAATACTCCAAGCTGTGACCAAAACGTACTTTATTTTGTTAACGTAAACATTCCATTGAAAATGTTGTGGATTTTTTTTATTTTTTTTTTTCTTAGAAATCTTGCTTATGTAATTTTTAAGTTTTTGTACAAAAAAAAAAATTCCCCCAAGACGCTCCATTCTGTCAACTGTTTACATTGGATAGATATTTTAAATTAAAATACAAGTTGAATGAAACAGATGTTGTATCCATGAAAAAGGAAAAAATACAGAAAATAACATTAAATTTCAAAAGAAATGTTCATTTAAGCATTAACACAAACACATAAATGTCTGCGAAAAACAACAAGTCTCATAGACAATGTCAAATTCAATATATTAAGATATAGATCGGTGAAATATCATTAACAAAAATCTGTCAGTTGATTACTGGTCCCGTGTTCACAAAGATTTTAGGATCAGGATCAAGATCAGGATCAAATCTAGAAAACTCAAATATTATCCATTGTTAATTCTTATAGATTAGATATTTAATATTAACTTGATAAAACTGGACTTGAAATAGCATGTTTTTGAAATTAAAGAATAAATTTATTGTAATTTTTGAAAGATATGGGCATTTTACAGTTAATCCAAATATTGATCTTGATCCTAAAATTGATCCTTATTTTGATCCCATTATTTTTGTATTTGTTTTGTTATTTGTCTATTTTATCCCAAAACAGGATTGTTTCTTTGCAAATCAGCAAAATATTACATTAACTTTATGTACCATTCAATTCTAGCAAAATACAATCAATATTAGTTATATAAAACAAAGAAAATAAAATCAGGATCACTTGATCCTGATCCTGATCTTTTCTTTGTGAACACGGGGCCTGGCCCCGTGTTCACAAAGATTTAAGGATCAGGATCAAGATCAGGATCAAATTTAAAAACTCTAATATTCTTCATTGTTTATCCTCAAAGATTAAATATCTAATATTAATTTGATAAAACTAGACTTGCAATAGCAAGTTTATGAAATTTTAGAATAAATTTATTGTCATTTTTGCAAGATACGGGCATTTTACAGTTGATCCAAATATTGATCCTGATCCTAAAATTGATCCTTATTTTGATCTGAAAATTTTTGTATTTGTTTTGTTTTTTGTTGATTTTATCCCAAAATAGTTTGGTTTCTTTGCAAATCAGCAATATTTTACATTTTGAATATATACCATTCAATTCTATGAAAGCATGATTAATTTTAGTAACATAAAACAATGAAAATAAAATCAGGATCACTTGATCCTGATCCTGATCTTTTGTTAGTGAACACGGGGCCTGGAGATCTTTTAGGTTTATAATGATTTTTAAATTTAGTTTGTTTATAACATATGTCTACTTTTATATTTAACATGAAAAACAATTTGTTTTCATATTCTTACAATTGATATAATAAGAATACAAAATACTACATTTAATTAATCTGAGATTTCTGAATATATAACGAACAAGATTTTTCAATCTCTTTCTAAAACTATTAACCATTATGCCATAAGACGACAAAATGTACAACCACAATGCTGACAAGTTGCCGCATAATTTGATGCTTCATTACTATTAAAGTCTTGCATTAAAAAACAAAAAAACATGCTTTTTCTTGTTTATAGATTTCTAGCAAAGTACTTATCATATTTTTTTACATTTTTTTTTCTTTTTTTGCTCTTTCATAGAGTTATGGGAATCCACGTTTCACCTGGTTAATATAATAGGTTTAATCACACAATGAACAACATTTTGTGAAATTCTATATGAAAATGGTCACATCTTGGGCCGATTATTAATTTAGCAATAAAATATTCTCCAAATAAAAGAATTAATTGAAAAGGCACTTGAGAATGTTTTGTCAAGAAATATTGACTTTCGTACATAACCATGAAAAAAAAAAGTCCTTGAAATATTCTCTAATGCAATCAACAGATGTTGTTAAAATGTTTTAATTCTATGTTTACAGAATCTATTTCTCTCATTATCTTTAGGCGACTTAAATCGCCTCTTGAACAGAAAAAAAACCTCGTCCACGGAAAAAGATTTAAAGAGAAATTGATTTTTAATCCTTCCCGGATAAAATGTCCATTCCTGTCAGACTCGGCAAGACCAAATATGGTGGTAAATTTGTAAACCGATCCAATTCTTTGTAAGCGCCAACGGCATTTAAATCAAGATTCCAGCAATCGTCAAATGAATAAAATGCTGACCTATCCGAAGATAATTATACAAGATCTAAACTTTCAGCTAGATTGACTTTTCACACAATTAAAGCCGGAAAACTGGAAAATATTGTATCAATCTCGTTTACATTCGAGCTTAAAGCAAGATTTTATTACTGTAAGCCATCAAATTAAGACAAACATTTTGTAATTCCAAACAAGTCATTTGCATAAATCAGAACATTGTCCTGAAAAAAAGTGATAATTTCATTCAATAAATTGATTTGGTATTTTTCTTCCTTTCCTGTCTGAGCTACATAATTATGAAAAACTTTTTTTAAGGCAATATCAACATTTTGTTGTACGATGTGTAAGAAGACGCATGCAAAACCATTCTTATGGCTGTGCACATTCAAATGTGTAAAGAGCTGCACCAATCTGCATGTAATGTTGGTTTACCTTTCACACAACAATGTCTCAAAACAATTCTCTTAAAGATATGGCTTTTACTTGTTCATAGACTTGAAATGAGAAATTTACCAAACTAGTCCAAGGAACAACCCAACTTTAGTGAAAACCCATTATTTTGCTGACCATGGACAGACCGACCTTTAGCTTGGGTTGCCTCTCAAACATGTCAAAACAAATTATGATTTCATTTCAGATTTAAAGTATCAAATACATACATGAACCTTGTTGACCAATTTATGATTATTAAATTTTACAAACTCACCCTGAAATTGTTTCTACATTTAGCCAAGGTGACCCTTAAAAGTGCAAAGGCAAAATTTATAAACACAATGGGGTGGGGGAGGGGGCAAATAAAACAACCCAAAAACACCACCATTTGGGGGAGGGCAAATAATAAGACAACCGAAGAACACACTGTTGACAACTGTAGACAGATATTTGAGAGTAAGTTGTTAACTCTGGTAGTGATTCATAAAATAAGAAGACACTTAACTTTCTATACCAATTATTTAGTTGGAATGATACCCATGCCGATTATAATACTAGAGAACAATCAATAAACATAATTTAGGTGATCTAACAAGTTGTGTATCATTGAAACACAGAAACCTTGTGTTAGCAAATGATCATGGAGGAAAGCCCACAGAAGATGATGGGCAAACTATCTTAATTAAGTCACTATTAAAATCCAAATCACTTAACTTTCAAAACAAAGGAGATCACATCCCTTTTCAACACCTAAAACATATGCTCTGAGGTCTAAAAAAAACATGTAAACAAATTAATTAAATAAGCACTAAAATACTCTTGCAGTTTCTTAAAGAAACATCATATCTTTAAAACTGGTAAGTCAAAGAAGTGGCGTGTCAAATTCAAAATAGTTCTTGCTAAAAAATGGGTTTGATGGTTATATAAGATATTCCATGTTTTAAAACAGTATCTCAAAGGGCTCAGTTCTTAAATATTGAGATGGCACAAAAGCCTTTTACCATAAAAGTTGAAAAATTGACATAAAAAATTGTTTTGTCAAAATACAACACGTACATTATCTGTGTCTTCTTGTCTACAACAGCAGACGATGGCCAAACATTAACAGGTATTCCCAGTTTCAAAGCAATACCTCAAATGGTTCTGTAAAAAATTAGTTGGTATGAAACCTATTTCATAAATTTCAAGTTACAAAAATCAGCATAATTTTAACATTATTCATGACAGAGTTATGTATTTTGGCCTAGGAAAGAAGGGTATGGTCATTTGACAAGAGCTAGCATTGTAGCGCAAAGGGTACTGTGAAAAGTGTGATGCAATGTTATTTGACTAAAGTGTGATTCCTACATGGACCGGAAGATTTTGAGTTCGTTAAACTCTCCATTTGCATATCTAAATATTAAGTCTTTTAGTTATAAAGCACTACCTTCCATTAACTTCAAAACATACGGTACATGTCTTCAACAATAAAATATAACAAAATTCAACAAAAGTCATTGAAACATTTTTAACGTTTCTTAAAAAGTAAGTTACCAGAATAACGTTCCTTTAATACTTTCAAATCAGCATTTTCTATTCCAGTTGTGTAATTCTCTGTCTAGAAAATTGAAAACCATCAGAGAGGTTTTAAAAGAATCTTAAATTTCTCTCAAAAAGAATAATCGTATCAAAGAAACGTGTTCATTTAAATATATATATCAATCATTGTCCAAATGAATTTTATGTTTCTCTAATCTCTTTTACATTTTATGTAAAACAAAATATTTCAAAGAGGAAATTGGATAAAAAAATTTTTTTTATCAAAATAATGGTTGCGGGTGATGCTTATCAAAAGTGTTTTATAAGAAAT